AGTAGTGGTTCTGGAGCGGGGTCCACTCAGCCTCATGACATAATTGAGGAGCTATTTCAAGGAAATAGCGGCTCCAGTCTAGAAAACCAAGATTAACGGTGGGGATCCATTGCGCTGACCACGTGACACCCTCTATCAGGTAAAATTGGCACTAACTTCGCCGTCAAGCGGCGGTCGCTCGGTCGGTATACTTCGCTTGCGGACTACAGGCCACGGAATTTCGTTTAGTTAGAGTGATGTCAGAAGCTTCCAGATTTGGATTTTAGTCACGTTTGTTAAAAGGTTTCACGAAAGTTATCCATACTTTCACCTTTTTATGCGGCATGTTTAGACTCTCGTATCGAGGCTGGATTTATGACGAAGCAAGTTACCTCAGGCGGTAACGCATTTAACTCATATTCGAGAGGTTACCGATCCGATTCTCATCCGGGACACCTGCTATCCGGACAGATTTCGTAGTTTTCTGGAGTCCCTTGAGGCAGATGCCGAGATAGCGCCTAAGAGTTAGGCTACCACTGATTCCTTCTAAATCTCTCCAATTCGTTGTCATCCTACCATTTGACGCCATATTATAATCTGAGCTACCGAAGCCCCATTAAATAAACACGTAAATGGGGTTTTCTTTCATGACCAGAAATTGGGAAAACAAATGTTGATAAATGTGGAAAGTGTAGTTCATATATTTCTTTTGTTAAGTTAGATACAGTTTTCAGTTTCAGGAAACGTTATGATACATCTTTTGAAAGTAAATATGTTTTGCGTTCTTAGGAGCTAGGGGCCCAAATATCGCCCACAAGAAATTTCTCAGCCTTCTGTGTGCTTCTCATATGCAATCTGTTCTCGTCTCTCCGTGCCGCACGGTTAATCTTGTTTTCGTGATTTTACTATCTTAAGTGCCCTGGGTGAGCAATATAAATTATTAAGTTCATTGTGATTCCCTTAATTCCTCAGCCAATCTTATGCAGTACGAAATTGCGTCCTTAACAAGGGCTTCCGGAATATACTTACAAACCTACAGGCGGTACAACAGAATCACTTCGACCACGGGTTAGCGTAGTTGGTTGAGGTATGATGCTACAAGCCGAAGGTCACGGGTTCGAGTCCCGAGGAGGTGGATTTTTTTTCAGTTGACCTAAACCTTCCAGCTGGTGTGTGGCCCTGGGGTCGTTTCAGCCTCTAACAGAAATCAGTACGAGGAATCTTCCTGGGGGGTAAAGGGTGGCCGGCGCGTAAGGTTGACAACCTTACAGCCATATGTGTTCCGATCGTCTGGAGAAAATGTGGGAGCCTCGACGTCTCACAACCCTATGGGCCTGCACGGCCTTTTACATTTACCACAGTCCAGTAGTCCAACACGAGCGTCATACATTTTATAGGAAATAATTGTTTCTTACATTTTTAATATATTTACTTGCTACCAGCCTCCTTTTAATTTACGTATGGCTGCTGGCCGGTCGTATTTTTGGACCCATCTTATTATCTGTCATTTGAGAATGTATACTGTTCTCAAGGCAATGTGTCAGGACAACTCAGGTTGTGTGCAGTCATATGCCCCAACAGACTTACCGGGAACAACTGTACAAGGGTCACTTCCTGTTATAGGCCTACATACATCCCAACACGCGACAATTTTTCGTAGCAGTTCGTAATCCTCCTATACATTGAAGTGTGGATTTGAAACTGGCAAATAAAGCTGTGTATTAGGTCTGTGACTATACAAGACTGGCTGAGTTGTGGTCTGGGGAGAAGCAAATTGCTGCTGGCTGACCCCAAGGTTGAAGGGATCAGTTTCCCTCTCGATCTCTTAGTTCACTGGAATAACCCAGTCTTGACCTCGTGTTGAAACTCAGTTCCTGACCTACATTGACCTTAAGCCTGGCAGAAAGCCGTTGCCACGAGATTGCATCATTAGAGCCATGGAGTGGTTACCCCATGTAATACGCCACCTGCAGTAATTTCTGCCAGAGGTTGTTAGTATGTCAGGGAACAGAAGTGCTCGCGTTTTACTTAATCTATATAGCAGGACAGTTTGCAGAGGGACTGTGTATCACTGTAGGAAGGCATGTCGCTTTATTTACAACAGTAAATCTTCCTGTTTCAGACAACACTGCCATTTTAACAGTGAACTGTAACAGAATCAGACATAACACATCTGTTCTACTGGTTTCTGCCTATCATTTGACTTGTTAAGACCAGAAGTGTGAGGAACCATGTTTGTATATGGATTGTGCTGATACAGAAGAACGCCGTTCTCAAGTGCTCCTGTTTCAGGGAATACAATTATAGGGGGAGTTTTTGTGCCAGAGAGGGAATTTAAAAAAAATCACATTTTCATGTATACTTTTTTCAAGCATGTACAGGGATAAGTCAAAAAGTATTCTCAGCGTGTTTAATAGATTTAACACAGCAGCACTACATTACTCACAAGTGAATAATTTTTTAATATAGTCCCTCTGCTTTTCAATGCAGTTGGTCCAGCATTGTATAAATTTATGTATGCCATGAGAAAAAATGTTTTCAGCAGGGCGGGGAGCTGTGTATGCATCCTTCCTCCATCTCATAGTCATTGTCAAAATGGAGCCTCTTAAAATATCTTTGAAGGGTGAAAAGAGATTGAAATTCAGTGGAGCAAGGTCATTGTTGTACCAGCAGTTGGAATCTGTCAGCAACATAAACAGTAGAATGGGGTGTAATGGTAAAGGCCAAGTATATCGTTACAGCATTATGGTTATCCCATGCTTATGGCTGCGTGCATATTCAGTAGTGAGGCCAGTAACTGAACATTTTGTGGATTCTTTCTTTCTTACCCTCATGCATTTCTAAAGCAATTTCTTTATTAAATGTGCCAATGCTGCTCTTCCCCCTCCATCATTCAGCCATGACACAACATTGCTATATGTCTGTTATGTATTACTTTAGGTAACATAAGTGAGTATTTTTTGGTTATTACATTTTCAGCTTAGTCACCACTCTCTTAGAATAAATGTCTTTCTAGACTTTCGCTGAAAATGTTCTCTGTATGTGCTTAACAGAAATTAATCCCAGAATTTAATGTGAATAGTTCTCATCAAATGATACACTTTGTTCTCACGATAAATTGTTTTTTTTTGCATTGAGGCAGCTTGCTGGGTGTATGCATATTTAGCTGTATGTTTGGAGTTTAATTTTTATCCATTCCCGTAGTAGTCTGGGTGGATGTTAAGAACCTGTTCTTGTCTAACACAATTATACATAAATCTTCACAATTTTCTTTACCTTGTATTGTCTTGTTCTTAAATTTTTTATGTTAAGGAGATTTCTTTGAACAGATTTTGATGAAACTTAAGGTACAGCACATACCTGTATGGGTATCTTGATGTAACTCAGACGTGCATAACAGGGAGGTGCATTTGTGGAATATATTGTGATGTGCCTCCTAAAAGCTAGAATATCTGAGTCACAGTAGGCGTCCATTTTTAGGCAGCAGCTTGGTATCCACGGTTTGTGTCGTCGGTGTGACAATGAAATAGGTTCACACGACAATGCATACATAACAGATGTTACCGTGCAAGTGAAAAACCAGAACTAGTTTCCACAGTAATGAATACATTTAGCTACCGGTGCATAGAACACGTGAAGCGGGACCCTAGAACAAGGTGTCTTTTAGGCTGTCCAACTGTCTGTTATAACAGACCAAGAGAGGTCAGAGGAGAATTAGAACAGACCAGAGCAGAGTTGAGAACAGACGAGAGGCAAACGGAGCAGAGCTGAGAGCAGAAGAAACCAGCTCAGCTAAGAACCAGGAGATGACAGACTAGTTGGGTTGTGTCATCTGGAAGACATTATTTCAGAGTGATTGTAATTGCAATTGTAAACGACTCATCCAATAAACAGATTTGCCTAATCCAGAACCCATTAATTTCTTGTCATTTTACCAGGATATGTGACAATATAGACCTGTAGAATGTAAACAGGAAGGAAAAAATTTATATTGAACTTCTCGGTGTCATGGTTAAGTTATCAGATAATGAGCATATAATTTTAATGCCTGGGTAGGAAATCACCCAGACACAGGCTGCATTGGTTAAGGAGGAGAATCTGTTTGTAAAAAACAGGGGACTATCCTTGATAAAATGTTGCCTAATTAGTGGACTAAAGGATGAAATTAGTTCTAGGCTTCTGCACTTACTTGACAACAGAGAACATGTCCAGTATCTGTCATAATCTGTTGAAGGTTTGAAGAGTACTGTCATCTGGAATGTACTGTCATGTGGTGTGGTAGAAGTCCACTGGTGTTTTGGAAGAACATACTGTCTCCATCTCCAGGGCTGAAGAGTAAGTCATGCCAGTAGTCAGCAACAAGCAAGCAGCAATGAAAGCCTTGCAAGTCCTTACTCTTTGGTCTTGAAGATGGAGACAGCATGTTCCCCTGAAGGTGAACTTTTAGTGGACTACATGATGTTATATCCCAGAAGATTGATAAGTTTTATGTGTAAAGTCTTTAGGCTGGTATTTTGTCAGTTCTGGTAGCAGGCGGAATCTCTGTGGCCAAACATTTGACTCTTCCTCCTGAGTGGATCAATTTGTGGGATCCTCATATAGAATGGGTGCAGATATATAGATTACCAAAGTTAATCCTGTAATATATTATAAACCCGCCAGGAATAGAAATAGATGTGTTTTGCAGAAAGAGATGGAAAGGCCAATTATTGGATTAGAGGTGACTGAACGGGCTTTGTAAGCCTTAATATCTGGCTAATTAAAGGGGAAGAAGTATTTTTTATTATTAAACGCAAGCAGAAGTATGTCATCTGTAANTGCCTGGGTAGGAAATCACCCAGACACAGGCTGCATTGGTTAAGGAGGAGAATCTGTTTGTAAAAAACAGGGGACTATCCTTGATAAAATGTTGCCTAATTAGTGGACTTATTGATCCAGTTTGTTTTAGGTTGTACTCAATAAGGTGAAGAACTGATTTGGTGAAATTTGGTAATATTTTCATGTTAGTTGTTTTGTTTCAGGTGTACCTCCTGGCACCAAGCCTTCACCTGGAAGCCATATATTGCCATCAGTTGCCTCTCAGAATAAACACCATCGCTCAGGAGCGCCCTCATTACCAGGAGGCCATACAGTACCAGGCCCAGGTCCTGGAGTTGGTGTGGGAGTTCCACCCACTCAGCCCCCTTCTAGTAGTGGAGGAAGGTCATTTGCGGCAGCCCTCCGCAACCTTGCAAAGCAGGCTGTGCCTCCTGCAGAGCGTGACAGTGAAGGGGAACCTTCTGCAGCATCTCATCAGGTCTCTCCGAAACGGGGGCCACCACCTCTAGTCCATGGAGCATCACCCACTACCAATGCAGGCCAGGAAACTCGTAAAGTTAGTTAATATATTTATCTCATTCCATTTCATTTTTGTTATTTCCTTCAATCATTGGTATGTTGTGCTAACAGAGTTTGGTGGTAGAGATGTAAAGAATATTTCTGGTTCATGTCCAGAAAGTAGTGACAGAACAGAGTGTTGTTATTTTTTGAGGGAAAATGCTGAACAAAATTGAGTTTGTTTTAGTAAGTGTTACTTCTCATATTAATGCTTACTGGTCATGCCTTGCCATGAAATGTCTTGCCTGCTTGATCACTGGGGTCATAGGTTCGAATCTCACTTAAGGCGTGGATGTAAGTGTGCGTTTATTCTGTGTTTGTGTGTAGGTAGCAGCCTTGTGATGGGCTGATCCCTTGTTCAGGGAGTAGACTGGGCTGTCTAAAATTAAGAAAATGAAGTGAAACAGGTGTTTCACTGATGCTCTATGCTCTTAAGTGGGAACAGCAAAAATAGATAGATAGATCATGCCTTTCGGTATTGTAACGGTGCATATGTGCGGTCCATCTGATTATGCAGTTAATTTTTCAGTACTGTATACCTTCACCCCAAAGTTTACGGTTGGCTGACAGCCCTGTAATACTGGGGGATTTAAAATCCCACGTTTGTAGATGATAAACATTAAAAGCATGTTATTATGGGGCTTGATATTGTTATCAGCCTTTTGAAGAAAAGTTAGCTGCTTTTTTTGTTTTTGTTAAGATAAGGGAATATACTGTAAACTTTATGGCCTTCCTACTGGTTGTTTATTTTCATTATTTAGTTACATTCGTCTCAATTTTTAAGCTTGTAGTCTAGTTGTTTAAGAACTACATTGTCAATTCATGTTCAGTTTGAAGCTCATCACAATGAAACAAGAATGGAAAGTTGTATTGTAATTTGGAGTGCCCATGCATATCAAAGGCTGTAATTTTATATACATTGTTGATCTTGATGTTAATTTATTACTGATGCAAATCTTGTAGTGTCTCAGGGAAAATTTATTTAAAATTTTTCCATCATTTTCCATACATGTGACTTCCCTTCCGTTCATACTGTTTCTTTGAATTGAATGACTTGGGATGGAAAGTGTTGGTGAAAAGTTTGACTTAAATATCGTGATGAAAGAGTTCTCACCAGACAAACTTAGAAAAAAATGGGTCTCAAGACAGAAGAAAACATAAGCATTAAGTGCATACTGAGGAGACGTGAAGATACACCAAGAAAATCACTGAAACTTCTGGCTTGAGACTGGAGAGTCAAAATATAGTGCAAGTACGGCAACACAGTTGCTGAAGCCATGCAGTGAAAGTTGGTGTCTGGTGTGCTGTAAGTGCAAGAAGGATTGTTGTACGTGTGCTTTTTAATGAAACAATTAATTGCAAAAGATATTTACATGTACAGTGAAAGGGTTTTCAACACCTCCTGTGATCTGTGAACAAAGGTAAGAACTTTCCTTCAGTCCAGATGCTATCAGCATGCTGAGTCAGCAGCAATATTCTCATTCAATCTGCAGCCAGCGACCCTCCTGTCCCTGCAAAGCACAGGGCTGTGAATGCGTCAGTTTACTAAAAAACGTCATGTACANGATTGTTAGTTGATTGTTAATATCCATATATTAAGACAAACAGTAACTTCAGAGTTGCACCATTATCTGTTGATCCTTTTGCAAGAAGAGGAGCATGGAAACAAATTTATAGTTTCTCACAGTAAAATAATCTATCATGTCGTGCTGCCTTTGTTAGTTTTTAAGAAATCACATATATTGTGTAGTCACCATGGTATTTATGTTTTAGATAAACATTATTGTAACATAATTTTCAGCAGTCTGTTGTGATATTGTTTTTCACATATCATCTAGGAATATTCAGGTATCTTTATGTATTTGTTAGGACCGTGGAGGTTCTGCACATGAACAACCTGTGACATCACGTGGTGCATCATCACGACCAACGGATGAGGGCCCACTCTATACAGGAACCAGTGGGCGTAGTAGTGGAGGAGGATCAGTACCTGCTTCTGGTTCAGAAATCACTCGGAGTGGATTCCAGCCTTATCGGCCGGAAGATTCTGCCCATAGACTTGGTGCTCAACATCCCCCAGCTGCAGCCCCACCACCTCCACCTCCATTTGGCTTAGATCCAGCAGTGGCATATAATCCATATCATCATAGCCTGTATCCAACAGCCCACTTGCAGCATGCATATAGCAGGCAAGTGACAGTTCTTCAGTATAACTTCAGTGCTTTCTTTGTTGTGCACGAATTTATGTCGTGACTGTCATGGACAATATTGTTTGTAACACTGACTCCAATCCTGTATCCCACCCACACCTGGCAGAATTATGTGAAATAATTAAATAACTGAGTCATTGTGCCTTCCAGCAAATTAGAATTGTGTGGTTGAAATTTGATTAGTAATATCAGCTCACAGAAGGAATTGTTTTCCATCAGTTGTGAGAAGTGTCTAACCAGAACTTGCTTTATAATTTGTATGTAGCTTTGGACCTGCTCACTTGAAGATGGTTGGTATCAGACTAGTAATTCTGGTGTTATGTCTTCTTGTATGGAAAATTTCCATAATTTTACAGTTACAGGATTTAATGGATAAAATGTCTTTTATTGTGTGCTTGTACTCGGAGATTCTCAGTTTTTAGGTTTGCAGGTGTTCATTGCTAAGTTGTCACATTTCTTAATAACTAACTACACGGAAAAAAGTTCTTGTTTGTCTATATGTATATATTCAGTATTGATTCATTTAGTGATGCTATCAGTAGCTCATACTATCTAGTGTAAAATAGTAGAATTATTTATGAAAAGTAAATTGGAAAGGATATAGAAGGAAGCAATTTTGGCCTGATTAGAGTTATTTTCCTGGAATTTGCTAGGATGGAGGGGGGGGGCTATACAAGAAGCTGCATGATTGTCAGTGTCCTGGCCAATATTCAAACCAGACACCCTCCTAACTATAGTCAGAGACATTGATGCCTGACCCAGTATGCTCATTCAGAGTCCTGCTTGAATATTACTGACATCATGTGGAAAAGTCCCAAATTTGCTTAGTGAATACATGGAGACCAGTGATGTCCATAATAGAACATCTTCAGAAATGTTAAGAAGAAATAAAGCATCAGGATGATATCCTAAGTAATAAAGTGTTGTGAAATTTAAATGATTCAGAATTGATTATAATTTGATGAATATTGGACTGAATAAATCGATTTTACCATAAATTTGCAGAATTTCTCTGTATATTTTCCTGTATGCTAAAGTAAGGTTATTCCAAGTGAAGAGATGCATACTGAAGCTTAGACCAAATAAAGGCAATGTATATAGCTTTTAGACTGTCAGAAGAAGAAAAATTGTACATAATGAAACAAATAAGTTCTATCAGTTTTAATGTTTGAGAATACATGTAGACACCGTGATGATCAGAATGCACTTTACTAACAGCATCCAGACATGTTACACAATCACTTCATGTGACTAAAATGTCACCAGCATAGTTACTGAAATGGATACCATTGGTTCCATCAGCAAAAGAAACCATATTGGTGTAGTAATTTATAATTTAAAATCTTCAGCAGACTTATGACATGAAAAGTGTTTAGGACATTGGCAAACAGAAAATTGGGAAAGTGAATTATGACACAAAAATTTGTGATAAAGCTATTGATCAATAAAGGTCCCTGAGAGCATGTGAAAATGCACAGAAGACTTCCCTAAAATACACAGTGAGTCCAGGATCTGTTAGGACTGATTTTTTTAAATTTTGCCTTGCAATGCCATCTGTTGGCGAGTTGTGGCATTAAGATTCTTGAAGTTTCAGCTGTGGCTGTCTATAATTTCAAAGCGCAAGCATCGCTGCATCATGTGTTCTGTCCTTGAGTGTAACGGTACTGTTCTGACGCTCATCGGAAAATGGTGGTTGAACAGAGAGCCAACATCAAATTTTGTTTGAAGTTAGGCAAAACAGCCAGAGAAGCGTACAAAATGGTGAAAAGTGTGTATGGTAGTGATTGTTTGAGTCGTTCGAACATTTTTCGATGATATGATGTATTTCGTGACAGCAGGGAGGACATTGAAGACGCTCCACGTGCATAAAAGCCGAGAACAAGTCGCACTGAAGAAAATGTGAAAAAAGTGACCGAAATCCTTGCATCAGACAGATGTGTTTCTGCAAGACTCATTGAGGAGCTTTTGGGAATACCAAAAAGTACTGTGCATCAAATTTTGACCGAGGATTTGGGCAAACGGAAGTCTGTGTGCTGTTTGTACCACACGTGCTGTCAGGCGATGAAAAACATGCCAGAGTGGAACACTGCAAAAACATGTTACCGTCGGCCCAAAGTGATACAAAATGTACAAAATCAATTGTTACCGCTGACGAGGCATTTTGTTTTAACTATGAGCCTCTCTAAAAGCGGCAGAGTGCAGTGTGGTTGAGTCCAAAGAAGCCGAAACCAAAGAAAGTGCTCATGCAAAAGAGTCGAGTAAAGACTCTGCTAACCGTTTTCTTCGATTCCAAAGGAATCATTCACAAGGAATTTCTGCCAGAAGGTCAAGCAGTGAATTCTGATTATTATCTCAGTCCTCAATCGTTTGTGAGAGAGAATTCTTTGAATTCAACCTGAATATTGAGAGCAAGGTTCCTGGTCGCTCCTCCATGACAATGCCCCACCCCACAAATTGAAGAACGTGCGCTTTTTTTTGGCCAGAAAATGGATCACAGTCCTTGATCATCCTCCATATTTGCCAGATTTGGCTCCAGCAGATTTATGGTTGTTCCCAAAAGTTAAGTTGGCGATGAAAGGAGACTGATGACACCATCCAGGACATCCAAAGGAAATGTACCGCATTTTTAAATGCAATACCATAAAAGGAGTACAGCGACTGTTTTCAAAATTTTTTTCAATCGATTCCAGCTATGTGTTGATTCAGAAGGAGACTATTTTGAATAAAAGAGTGAAATTTTAAAAATAATTCATGTCTTGTACTTTTAATGAACACAGCCCTAACAGAACTTGGACACACTGTAGGATCAAAATAGCATCAACTTGACAGTGACTGTGAACAGGAGGGGATGGGTAATAAGGAAAGGTTATGAAATTTGTAACTGTAGATGCATGTACCTTTGGCATAGTCATGTTGACAGCTGTCCAATTTAACATAATGGAAAACATTATGTATAATGAATTCATATAATTTTGAAAAATTATGAAGAATTGAGTTAGCCCTGTAGTTCTTGACAAAGGCATGGATGCCTTTTTAAATATAATAACAATAATAATAATAATAATAATGATAATTCTGTTCTATATATATACGAGGGTCGATCAATAAGTACCTGTGTTAGGAATAAAGACACAAGTTTTTCACTTTTTTTTTTTTTATTTTTCAACGTAATCTCCTTTCAGGTCGATACACTTTTCC